TCTTGTTTGGCCTCTTCGGGATTGATCTTCCTCTTCTTGAGCCTACTTTCAAAATTTTCATCATTGTTATCAACTGATGATGAGGAAGCCTGGGGAGCGATTTTACATGTTTCCTAATAATAATTTATTAAAGATTTGATGACCAATCGCTTTGATTTAAAGTACGTACCATAAAATCTAACAAAATAATGCGGTGTGGCATTTTGCTTCTTTTTTTTTGAAATTGTGGCGCCAATTTATTCTTCCATGCAATGGAAAATCGATTCCTCCGAGTACTTTACAATTGCACAAATTTGGATAAGAATACTAGATTTTCAACAACTAAACTGAACCCAACAATCTTTGCATGAATAATTATTTCATTCTGAAAGAATAAAGGAATAAAACCCAAACATTTCCAAACATTGTCTACCACGGAGTCCAAGGAAAGGATGTTTTATGATACTTTTGAAAATCCATTACGGACAATGGTATGTGCAATCTTGAGATATATCACAGCTCATGAGAATATGAGATTACACATTCACTCTCTTTAAGAGTTTACAACAATTTGATATTTAAAAGAATCCACAAAAAAAAATGAGCGCACAAATCTTGAAACAATTCTTACCAGGTTCTACCAGAGGTAAGTTTTGTTGATCATCACATTTAAATGTGATTAATATTATTGTGTTATTAATTCATTTTGTAATATTCGTGAATATCTAATTATCGGATCATTTCATTTAAATATTTCAATTAAATATTGATCGGAATTGATGATACTATTGATTAGTCGGCTTCCTTGGAGTTGGTGTTATGGGAAAGTCCATTGCCACTAATTTAATTAACAAAGGATACAAGAATATGACTGTTTATACTCGTACTAAATCAAAGGCTGATCCATTGATTGAACTCGGAGCCAAGCTTGCTGCTTCACCAAAGGAAGTTGGTGCCAATAGTGATGTTGTTATCAGTATTGTTGGTTATCCATCGGATGTGAGAAGTGTAATTTTGGATGAAGAAAATGGTGTATTGTCTGGAATGAAGGAAGGTGGAGTTATTGTTGATATGACTACTTCTCAACCTTCTCTTGCTGTTGAAATTTATAACAAGGCTAAGGAAAAGGGTGTTTACAGTTTGGATGCTCCTTGCAGGTGAGTGATCATTTTGTTATTGGACTAGTTGACTAATTTTTAACACAGTGGAGGCGATATTGGTGCTAGAAATGCCACTCTTACCATCTTTGTTGGAGGTGATGAACCAGTTTTGGGAGCTGTTACTCCAATCTTTGAATCTATCGGAAAGACTATCAATTTTATGGGAGAAAGTGGTAAGGGACAACATGCCAAGATGGCCAATCAAGTTATTATTGCCACCTCAATGATTGGTGTTTGTGAAGGTTTATTGTACGCACATAAGGCTGGTTTGGATGTTCATCAAACTCTTAAGGCTGTTTCAGGAGGAGCTGCAAACTCATTCTCCCTTCAATCATATGGTCCAAGAATTTTGAAGAGAGATTTTGAACCAGGTTTTTATGTTGAACATTTCATTAAGGGTTAGTTTATTTATGAATTATCTTGCTAATTATTTTGTAATTATAATAATAATTATAGATATGGAAATTGTTTTGAGTGAAGCCAACAAGATGCAACTCGTTCTTCCAGGTTTGAATTTGGCCAAAATGTTATACGATTCATTGAGGTAAGTTTAATTTCTCATTCATTTAACTAATATTCTAATATTTCTAATATTATTATTATTATTATATTACAGAAACAA